CTTCAAGGAATAGATGTGATTTAATTTCTTTGTATATGTTCTTGTCTGCATGTATGTATTTTGTCAAAACACCTGTTGTTGTTGTTATGTGCCATCGAGTCGGCCCTGACTCATAGCGACCCCTCCTTGGGTTTCCGAGGCAGGATCACTACGGAAGTAGATTGCCCAACCTTCCTTCAACATCTACCACACTCTTATTTTAATTGTTATGTCTTTCTCTACTAGCTACTTGCAAACAAGGGCTATGTTGTAGTATTCATCTCAGAATCACTGGGGCCTAGTAGGGGAGTTGGCCCTCAACTTGGCATTAAAATTTGTAAAACATCTCTGCCTTCTACCCTTACTCTACATCTCTGAGTTAAATATATATATATATATAGAGAGAGAGAGAGAGAGAGAGAGAGAGACAGAGAGACAGAGAGAGACAGAGAGAGAGAGACAGAGAGAACTGTAAGGGATATTAGAAATCATTTAGCTCTATCCTCCCTCATTTTTATAGAGGGAGAAATTTCAGTCTGAGAGTGCAAAGGTCGTTAATGATATACCCAAAGGGCCTCAACTGATGAGTACCATAGTTGTTTTTAGCACCTCCTGGTTACCATTTGAGGGCTCTTTAGGACCTACATGCATATACACTTCATTTCATTCTATCTGTAACCCTCTGAGTTCCTCCTGTATGCTTAGTGCTGAGTAAATACCACCTTCCTTTTTTTTTCTTTCTGCCTCCTTGGGGAAGATACATCTGAGCTTTCTAGTAACCAGAAGAGAACAGTTTCCCAAGACTCTTAGACTTAACCTGGAAAATGGTTGCTGTAACTCAAGCTTTTACGTGTTGTATCCCTTTTTGCTCATCTAGGCAGTCATCCTATTATTCTGTTGTCCAAAGGAGAGGATACATGATTATATGCAAGCTGTTTAAGACCCTGAAAATAATCTCTCATTGCTATATTTTAATTTAGTTTAGCTGTTTAGGTATATGTTAGTCTTTATTGTTTTCTGTAAGCAAAAGCAAACTAGATCTGTTCTATAATACTAAGTTAGGCACAAGCTGCACTTCCATTTGGGCTCAAACTACTAAGTATAGTTTGTAGGTGATGTTTTCCTGCAGGCTTGAGTGAAATGTGCTGCAACAATTATTTTTTTCCTTCACTTAGTTTTCCTTAGTTCTCTGTTTTCAAAATGTATTTGAATCTAAGGTCTCAAAAACACTACCGTCGGTTGAAGTTTTTTTTTTTTGTTTTGTTTTTTACTTGTGACTTGAGTGAAAGTTTATAGAGCAGATTGGTTTTCTTTTCAATCATTCATAGACATTTTGTTTCATGACATTGATTGCAAGCTCCACAATGTGGGGTACCTGGGCAAAAGCTGCTTTTGATTCTTATGACTATTCTAAGGAGTGTGTACCCCACTAGTATTACTGTTTACCTTATGGGCCTGTCTATTGATTGTCTGAGTTCCTTTCCAGGCTTGAAGGGTGACTAAGGACTGCTTTCTTGGGGGTTTCACCAGTCTCTGGTGGACCAGTAAGCTTGGTCTTGTTTATGAGTTTGAGTTTTGCTCTACATTTTCCCCCACTTTTTAATCCAGGACCTTCTATTGTGATTCCTTCCAGAGTGGTCAGTAGCAGTAGCCAGGTGCCATCTAGCTTTTCTCTTCTCAAGGTCGAGGATGTTGAGGTTTTACATGCTCTGTTAGTCCTTAGGACTATTTGTTTCCATGCATCTTTGATTTTCTTCACTCCTCTTTGCTTTGGATGGAGAGAGAGCAATAGTTGCACCTTAGATGGCTGCTCACTCACTTTGAAGACTCCAATCACTATTCACCACAGTTGTGTTGTTGTT